TGTCTCTAACAGGCTTTGGGTCAGTTTACCAAGTAAGGCTCATACGGAGTATTACAGACAAATGGTCCCTCAGTAGGTGGCAATTGCACTTAATTCTTAATTCTGGGGCTTTTCCCCTGAAAAACCTTTTAAGGAGCTATTGTTCTTTTACATGTGCAGATACAAATAAATGCTGCCCTAAGCAGTCAGCCATTTTACAGCTGTGTGTCTGCTGATCTGTATGTCCCCTTTCTCTTCCAACATCTCCTCTTTACTTACTCTTTTAATACAACCAATTAGGTCATCATAAAATGGGATTTTCAGGTCTCTCCTCCATGTCCTATTCCCTTTCTATTTCGGTCTTCTCTCCTGAGCCTCCGGTCTCTCGCTCGGTCTCTCGCTCTCTCTCCCCTCCTCCTACTGCCTCCCCCACCCTCTCTCTTAGCTCTTCTCCGTCTCCCGCCTCTCTCTCCATCTCTCTTTCTCTTCACCCCCTCCTGCCTCTCACTCTCTTTCTCTTCTTCTCCTCCTCCTGAATGGGGAGCGCGGAGCCCAAGTGACTGTTTGTACCACTTGCTCCTGTGCGGCAGCCCAGCTGAGCGGCTGCCTATGAGCTCCAGCTGTCCCCATGCACCGTTTCCCTTCACCCCAGCATTGATCCTACAGCCTCCCAGTTGTCCTCCACCTCTCCTTCCCCCTCGTTCTCCCACCTTCCCCCCGGCCAGGGTCTATTCATGGCCAGGGGGTGGGGCCTGAAGCCACACGTCATGCTGCACGTCACCGCCCGCCCCCCTTTGCCTCCCGCAGTGGCGCTCGGCTGACTTCTGTGCTGCTCAGCCGGGCCACTGCGGGGGAGCAAGCAGCACAAGCGACCATTTGGGGTCCGTGCTCCCCATGCAGCATGGGGGTGCTGCAAGAGGAGTGCGGGGCCCAAACGGCCATTTGTGCCGCTTGCTCCCGTGTGGCGGCCCGGCTGAGCGGCGCAGAAGTCAGCTGAGCACCACGGCGGGAGGCAACAGCGCCGCCCAGAGGGAACAGCCAGCGTTTCAGCGTTACAGAGTCATAGATGTTGGGCTACTATATGTATGATACCTGGCTACATGCACAGGGAGTTTGGAGGCACCACCTGGCAGTTCTGATGGCAGCTCTTCTTTTCCCCAGAGGTCCGAGGGACTGTTGGCACATCACTATGTATAAGCCTCACAGCCCTCAAATGTGTCTCCACAGCTAGCTCATAGGGATGTTAAATATCATGACGTCTTATTGGTTAGTCGGTTAGTCAACTATTCTGTAGGCCCGCGTCGGGAACATGCAAATCAAGTGTGGGGTATTTAAATCCCGGGCTTGATTTGCAATTTCAAATGCCTACATTAGTATCTCTAGTTCAAACCAGGTGGCTAGTGTAGACATATCCAAAATGATTTCTGAAGGTGGCAGAGGCTATGTTTAGACTATGGAGTTTTATTGGGAAAAGATATGCAAATTGCACTCTGCAATTTGCGTACCTTTTTCTGATAGTTTTGTCGGAAGAGGCTTTTCAGAAATTTGGCCCATCTACACTGGGCCAAATTTTGGAAAACCCTACTCTTTCAGAAGAGTGCCGAGTGCTGTGGTATCCCAAATGAGAGTAACCAAAGCAGAGAGAGAGGAAAATGCTTTGCTGTCCCTCAGCGAGGTAGGCAAGCAAGCAGGAAAGCTGAGACCTGGCTGTCCAGGAGGGTCCCTTTAAGAACCAGCCTCAGATAGCCTCAGACAGCAGCCACACAAAGCAATTACTGACCTGATGCCCTGCTGGAACTGGTTTCAGCTGCCCTTAAATGCGATCCAGCGTCCAATCAGTGTGGACACACTATTTCAAAATAGCAAAATGCTATTTTGAAATACAGTTTGTGTCTAGATGCATTATTTTGAAGTAGCTTAATTCGAATTAACTATTTAATTTAAGTTAATTTGAAATAGCGCTGTTGTGTAGACATACCCAGGCTGACTAGAAGCAAAGAGGTAAAACTCTATTGGGATTTTCAGGATTAGGGCGTGTGTATCAAGCCAGATCCCTTGAATTCAGTGGAATTGTATTGATTCCCACAGCTGAGAATCTGGTCTTCATGCTTTTACCTGGCCCTCTTCCTGCAGTCTTTTCCTAGAAAATGTTTTTCTTTCAATGTGTCTTGTGGGAAAGTGTCCTTTAGATGGCACCAAACACTTGCACTGTGGAAATCCAACAGAAATTTATGGTTACTACGGGGCCATTTCAGTTCATTCACTTGTAATCTGTGTTTTTACTGACTTCAGTGAGGCCAGGATTTTATACATAGGTCCTAATTCTGCTTCCAATGGAAGGTAATGGGACTTCTGCTTTTTACTTCAATTGGAGCAGGTCTGGCCCCATTATCTTTTGTCTTCTCTTGTGCATAAATACAAGGTGCATCTTATAATTCATCCAGTTTCTGCTAGAGAATTTAACAGTTTTCACTATGTAAAAGGTAACAAATGGTCTGGTAGCACTTTAAAGACTAATAAAACATGTAGATGGTATCATAAGCTTTCGTGGGCACATCACATTTCTTTAGATGACCAGAGTTTTGAGTTTAGGATGTGCAGACCCAAAATAAATAGGACACTATCAACCTAACCTTCAATGAAGGTGCAAACAGCATCAAAGGGAAAAACAGGATGGCAGAGCTGGGAATCAGTAAGCACCTGAAGATTGAGTAGTTAAAACAAAGCAGATAAGAATCAAAGTCAATAGATAGTACACTTCCTAACTCAGGAATCTACGCAAAGAGCTGTTTGCACCTTCATTGAAGGTTAGGTTGATAGTGTCCTATTTATTTTGGGTCTGCACATCCTAAACTCAAAATGCTGGTCATCTGAAGAAGTGGGCTGTGCCCACGAAAGTTCATGATACCATCTACATGTTTTGTTAGTCTATAAAGAGCTACCAGACCATTTGTTGTTTTTTCCATTACAGACTAACTCAGCTACTCCCTAAAACTATGTAAAAAGTGTGTTTGACTAATTTTTCTTTGCTAATTATTACTCTTCTGGACAGATTAAAATTAGATTAAGGACAACTGACATAGTCTGCAGTGTAATTTATAAGGAATTGCAGGCCAGTCTCATATTTATTGCTGGCATAAGTGGGCAAAACCCTATTGACTTCAACAGATGCTGCACCTTTATAAGACACTGATGAATTTGGATCAGGATTTCTGTTTGGGCACTTTAACCAATTACCGTAAAATCACGAGTATAATGCGCACCCTACCTTTTCAACATCAGAATCATGGAAAAAAGTGAACTCCTATATATTATGCGCACCCGCATTATACTTGCAATTTTATGGTATATATAGGAAGGAAGGGGCCGCTCCCATCTGCAGGCTCGCCCGGGAAACACACGCGCAGCATTGGGGAGCCAGCTGCAGAGTTTGAAACCTGCTCCCCACCCAGCTGCCTGTACTCCATGCTGAGCTCGTGCCTGTCACGGGGCCCCCTTCCCCCCCCCC